TTTTACGTGAAAAAAAGACTAAATTACCCCCGAAAAGTTTCAGGGGTATTTTTGTCAAAAAAAATTTTCAAATTAGTTTTTTTATATTTTTATTAAGTGCGCCTCATTATGATGTACATATGCTCCAAATTTCAGATCATTCCGATTTGTAGAAAAAACATGAAAAATGAAACACTACCGGACAATTGTGACCGTGCGATGAACTTAGGACGGTGATGAGGGTAGGCAAAATCACTGTTCATTTTCGCCTATACGCGTTAGGAAGACTTTTCCTATATATATTTATGGGTTTGTCTAGAGTTAACAACCCCTCAAAATACAAAGGTTAAAGTTCGAAGGGGTTGTGATAGGTGTATTTATCAAAAAGGTCATTACTTTTTGTTGAAAAAATTATTTTAATAGGTAACTTAACCATTAAGTAATGAAAAATTTGAAATTTTTACAAAAGTACAATGGAATTTTGGAAGTTAATGTCTTGAAATTTTATTTGTAGAATGCCCTTGTCTTTTAGTAAAAATTTCAACTTTACCCTTTATGAAGATGACAAAAATACCTTTTGTCTTGTAGTAATATTTACAAAATTGCCCTTACTTAATAATGAAGATATCACAAAAAGTAACCTTTAAAAAAATAAACTATAAAATTAGTAAATCCACCCTTCACAACTATCTCTGTCTTTAACCTTTGTAATTTGAAGGGTTGTGAAGTTTAGATTATACCTATATATATATATATATATATATCATATGATGACATCAATTGTTTTTATTCTTTAGCACTTATTGTAAGTTTTGAGCACAAGAATCCTATTTATACATCCATCAAATCAGTGCCTTTTTCCAACTATTTGGGGTTGGCTATACAAATCTTAGTTCACCATTATGCTCTATCAAGGGTCATATCCTCAGTGAAGCCAATAACATAGAGATTAAGGATTCATGGAAAGTTTTGGCAAAGTTTTGCGTTGGCTGCCTATCTAACACAAGTTACACAACCACCTCCTTTACCCAGGCTTGGGACGGGTTAAGGTATAGTTTAAAGTCCTCACCCTTCTTAGATCATGTATATATATACATCCATTGGACAAAAATCAATATTGTAACTAAAAATAATTAAAAACTAGCAAGCGCTATTTAGCAATAACAGAATATTTCATTTTGAATGTGAAATGAAGGTAGAAATGCCAAAGTTAATCTCCATTGCATAGTGCTTTTGATACCTTTATGCTCGTTGGAAAGTCTTTCTAAACAAGATGTACATCGTTTGAACAGTTGATCAAGACTTTCGCCACCGCCCTAATCTCACACAATAGAAACTAATGTGAGGGAACAATAATTCTGCAAACAACTGTATATTTCAACAACAAGTCAATACATGAATAGCCAATTTAAGTATCCAGCAAATAAAACACTAGGTACATGTTGACCACATAAAATGAATAAATATCTGAGTGTCATAAATCAGGTTGCCCAAAATAGTAAAACAATAAAGCAAATATATGACATGATTAAGTGTTGGGTTTTGCGGCCTTTAAAAGCCTAGAAAGCTTGTAAAAAATGATATCTTATAATAGAATATGTACTTCAGTGGGAGTGTGTGTGTCGACTGACTAAGGGTTGAGCGGTTTATGGCCCTAGTCGTGTCCAAAACCCTTGGCCTTGGGTATGTGGCACTACCGATAAGGGTTTGCAGTGGGTCATCCCTTATTGAGGTCGGAGAGATGTCTAGGGATTATGTTTGTAAACCAAGAGAACTGTGTGGTCTCATGTGTTGAATTGTAGGCCTGTGAAAGCAAAGGCCAAAGCCTCAACAAACTTCTGCACGACATGTACACATAATAACCACATTACTAGGAAGCAGCCTTATAAAAGGACACGTGTACATGTGGATAGAGAGAGTCCCCTTTGCACTGTGGTGACAAATGCTAAACTTGCTCTTAAAAAGGAGAACTAAACTACACATTCTAGGATCATGGTCCCACTGTTAATCGTTCAACTTTGACAAGTCAATCATGAGCCTCTATTTAGAGATTGTGGGTCATGGGTCTTTTTTAATACTGTTAACATTGTATTGACGGTAAGAAAATTACATAGTTCCCCGAGGGGCAAAATCACCGAGAGGGGTGACCAAAAAACTTGGAAACCTAACAAATGATTACCAAATTTAGTACAACTGTGGCAACCAAGTGTGAAAAAAGGAAAAGGGTATAATGATGCTAGGAAAACAGGTAAAAGCTATTGCAAGGTGGCTCCTTGTTTAGCAAGGGTGTCCGCCACGTGCTGGCCTCCCCTCTAGATATGCATCCAAGGGACCTGCATATGCCTGCAAAGATTGTGAATGTTGTCAAAGATTTGCCAAAGTGTCTGGGAAGCCCAGCTGATGACATTCTTGGAATCACCTTCTAAGGAAAGGAGGTGGCCTCAAGATTGGTCGAAAAGCCTGAGGCCAGGTAAAAGGGCTCTTGCTTCGGCCTCTGTGGAGTCCGAGACACCGATGGAGGGGGAGTATGATAAGAATGTGATCCCCTCCTGGTCTTTAAAAAGTCCTCCAACTCCGGCAGGCCCCGGATTGCCCAAAGAGGATCCATCGATATTCCAACCCTCGTCAGATGGTCTCCATAAAGCAGAGCAAGGGATCTCAGTAGGCCAGTGATGGAGGATAGAATCCCAATTGAGAATGAAGTCCGATGTGGTGAAATGACTGAACCTTCTATGGTTAGTAGCTCAAAAGATAACCATAGCCCTAATGGATTCAAGAATTTTGGAAATAGGGGCATAAGTCCCTTGAAAAATGCGGTTGTTGCGCTCTTTCAAGATGGCCGAGAGCTAGAAGAGTTGTGTGACCCCACCCGAAGAGTTGCGGGTTATCTTGCCAGACGTTGGCTGCCAATGGGCAGTATAAGAATAGGTGAGCATTGGTCTCTTCATGGGAGAGACACATAACACATCAATTAGAATTTGGACACCTCTAATCTAAAGTTTGTCTACCGTTAGGATTCTACCCCACAACACAATCCAAGAGAATACATGGATTCTCAGTGGTTAGAATGGGTTACAGGCTTTGGGGACCACGGGATGGGACAACACATTCCCAAAGGGGGGAGAGGAAAGTTTAGAAAAGAGGGAGGCCACCGAGGAGAAACCGGAGGGACAAGGTTCCCAGATGATCTGGTGAGCACCAAGAGAGGGAAAGTGGCAAGAGGAGGGAAGGGTGGAGAGGTCAAGGAAGACCAAGAATTCATTTTTCCGCAAGGATCTGCAAAGATCCGGGTTCCTCGTATTGTCTAGCCAGCTGAAACAGGAGAGGGAAGCGAGAAGCAAGGGTTATGGAACCCGGCCACCAATGAAGCCAAAAACCTACCCCGACACCACACAAAGGGTGGAACCGAATGGAGTCCTTGAACATATGGAGGGAGTGGGAGTTGGACATCCAAAAGCCTGAAAAAGATTTGCATAGATGAGCTGGGCATGAACCACTATGAGGGGGATAGGCAGTACTTGTGAGATAAAATATCGTGCCAAAGATGGCCGTCCCAAGTTGCTAGCCTCCACCACCATTTGCACAAGAGGGCAAGATTGTTCTTGCGAAGATTTTGAATGCCTAGTCCCTCGACTGCTTTGGGTTGGCAGGCCGACGTCCAAGCTATTAGGTGGTATTTTTTAGAGGTATCGTCACCTGAGCAAATTGCCCATGAGTTTCTCTAGGCGGGAGGCAACCGAGGAAGGCAGGTGAAATAGTGACATTTGGAATATGGGAATCCCAGAGAGAGCCATGTTGATGAGGGTTAGTCTACCTGCGGGGGAGAGAAATCTTCCTTTCCAGGTAGCCAGCTTCCTTTTGAATTTGTCAATGAGATGACCCCACTGAGCTTTGTTGGGTTTCCCATGACAGAGGAGTAAACCAAGGTAAGTGGAGGGCAGATGGTCTACATCCCCAACTATCTGCCAGTTGTTGGAGGGTTATGGGATCCATGCCAATCCCAATCATTTTGGACTTTTCTAGGTTGACCTTGAAACCTGTGGCAAAGTTGCAACAGATACGGAATAGAAGAACGTTTGTTATCTGAACTTCAGACAGAAAGTAATGTGTCGTCCGCATATTGGAGGTGTGAGACAGTGGGGCCCTGGGTCCCCAAAGTAAAACCCTTTACGAGGCCCGCTTAGTATAATCTGAAAATGGCTCTACTGAAAACCTCTGTTGCAATGGCAAAGAGGAAGGGGAACAGGGGGTTGCCTCGGGATGATGAAAGAAACCTTTGGGTCTTCCATTAATCAAGATATAGAAAAATGGGCCTTGGATGCAGCCCTTTATCCATTTTCTCCAGCGGGTTCCAAATCTCATTCTTACTTTGGTTTCCTAAAGCACGTCCCAGTTGACATGATCGTAAGGTTTTTCCCAGTCAACCTTTACGGACTTCGAGGCTTTCCTTGAATGGATACACTCATGGGCTACAAGTGCTCCATCCAAGATTTCGCGATCTTTGATAAATGTTCCCAAAATCGAACCGGAACGGTTAACTAGACATGGGCCAAGAAGCGGTTTAACCGGCCTAACTGATAAAACGGCCAATTCAACGGCTCTAACCGGTCAAGTCCAAGGCGGTCAAAAAGGTGTTGAAAAAAAAAAATATACAAAAAAAATCTACTAAAATATGAACAACATATAAATCATGATTAAAACAAAACACATTCAAATGAAGTTGAAAATTAATTAAAAAAAAGGATTTTAACGAATCGATTTGTGCCTAGGGGTATTTTTAAAGTTTTTTTAAAAAAGATGGGAAAATATAAAAGTGAGTATTAATGATCAAACCAAATTTTAATCTTTACCATAATGTAAAGAATATTAATAAATGCATTTCAAAGAAAATTCATTATTTTTGAGAATTTATATACATTATTTTTAATTTTTTTTTAAATACCGGTTGATCACCAAAATCGGCCAAAACCGGAACCGGCCAGTGCCGATTCCAATCTAACCGGGCGGCTAGCGGTTAGATCGCTCGGTTTTGCGAACACTATTTTTGACAAACGCACTTTGATTAGGTGAGATGACGAAGGTGAGAATGGTCTTGAGTCTAAAGGCAAGAACCTTGACTAGTATTTTGTATGAGCTGTTTATGAGACTAATAGGTCTGAAATCTTTACGTTCAACAACTCCTCCTATTTTGGGAATGAGGGCTATAAAAGTCGCTTTCATACCCTTATGGATGATATCACGCTCGTGGAATTCAGAGGAAAAAGCAAAGATGTCTAGGTGCATAATGTCCCAAAAGTGAGAGAATGGCTACAAGGAATCCCTCAAGGCCAGAGGCACGGTCCTGACCAAGAGAGGAATGTCTAGAAGGATTTCAGTCTCATCAAAGGTCTGTCGAGATTCTCAACTTGGTCAGGGGAAAGAGTGATGAAGAGAGGTCGCCCATGACAGGCCAAGGTCTCAAAGGGGTCGTGAACAGATTCTGGAAATGATCAATGATAGTGCTTTCACTAGACAAAGGGTTGTCAATAAGGGTAACCTAATGAGAAATAGAGGAGATAGAGTTGTCCCTTCTCCGACAATTGGCTATCCTATGGAAAAAACTAGTGTTGAGGTCTCCATGGGTAAACCATTTAACCTGGGACCTTTGAGCTCAGAATGTATCCTCCTTCCTGAGTAGAACTTGATAATCATTTTTGAGCTCGAAGCGACGGCTGGATTCAATGAAGGATAGAGGGTGAGAGTCCTCAATAAGGTCCAGGGCCAAAATGGAGTTGAGAAAGGCGGTTTTTTGGTTAGAGACGTTCCGAGGGAGTTGTTCGCTCCAGGTTTTAAGAGAGCTTGAGAAGAGACAGCTTTTTATGGAATTTGAAACTTGCCCATCCGAGAGCCGAGGAAAAATAGGATCTCCAGCAGTGCGGCAAGTTATCAAGGAGGCTAGCTTCTTCGACCCAAGAGAGTTTGAATCGGAAGGGTTTGGGCCCTAGGGATGTAATTGGATCGAGTAAGATGGGTTTGTGGTCCAAGGTAGTTTTGGGCAGGGCCAGAGAAAAGGTACCAAGGAAAGCGGCATCCCAGTTGTTGGAGCAGAGGAAGCAGTCCAACTTGGAAAGGAGGGGGGAGAAGTGATTAGACTAGGTGAACCTAGTACCAAGGATAGGGATGTCCACCAACTCGTTGCGACTCATGAAGTCGGCGAAATCTAGATTGGCCGAGGTGACCCAGGCAGAAGAATTTCGCTTGTGAGACCATCTTTTTACATTGAAGTTGCCTCCAATGCACTAGCACGACGGAGAGCATGAAGCTCCATCGTCGAGCT